ATCCCATGGCATGGACAATTAAGAACGATCACTGTAGGTGATTGATTATTTCTGTGGATGTCCCTTAGTAATTGAATTGCTTTTCAGTGTTCACCAGCTTTCTGACAGGTCCTATCACAAGGGACGTAGAGCTTTAATCTTGTTTATATCTGTAGGGTCCTATGGTTTCCCCTCTTTAGCCTTTTCCAATGATAGAATGCATTGAGTTGCTGTAGGACAATGGTCTTGTACCCTGTAAATATTTGTCACTTGTATTGGTCTAATAAAATGCTGATTGGGGGGCTGGAGAGATGGCTCAGTGGTTAAGAGCATTGCCTGCTCTTCCAAAGGTCCTGAGTTCAATTCCCGGCAACCACATGGTGGCTCACAACCATCTGTAATGGGGTCTGGTGCCCTCTTTCGGCCTGCAGACATACACACAGACAGAATATTGTATACATAATAAATAAATAAAATAAATATTTAAAAAAATGCTGATTGGCCAGTAGCCAGGCACAAAGAATAGGTGTGGTGATCAGAACAGGAGAATTCTGGGAAGAGGAAAGTCTCAGTCTGCTGTCATCACCCAGACGCAGAGGAAGCAAGATGAGAATGACTTACTGATAAGAGGTACCAAGCCACGTGACTGACATAGACAAGAATAATGGATTAATGTAGGGTGTAAGAGTTAATAAGAATCCTGAGCTAATAGGCCAATCACTTTACAACTAATGTAGGTGTCTGTGTGTTTCTTTGGGATTGAACGGCTGAGGGACCAGGTGGGACAGAAATGTCCGTCAACATTGGGTTTTAAATATTGAACTAGCATTGTGCTTGTAGAATAAACCTCATTCATTTGTGGTGTTTAATATTGTTTTTAGCAAAATCTCAATCGTTTGATTTAAAAGAGCATCTTGATATAACTTTCCTCTTATTTTACCCCCCTTTAGTTATTGACTTCCGACTTCCTTTCTTCAAATAGATGCATTTAGTGAATGTTGCAGAATATTCGATCACACTTTCAACCCTGAAATCTCATTATGTACTTGAAAAAAAGTGTGGCTCAGCTCCAGCACCACACCTTTAATCCCAGAGATTTCTGTATATTATAAACAGAATTAAATGAAGTTAACTAAAGGTCAAGAGACAGAGCAAGCAGCCAGTTGACAGGAAATGAACAAGAAGAAAACCATAGAAAGCAAGAGGGAGTCAGGAGTGCAGGACGTAGAAGGGGGACGGACATTGAGTTGGAAGAGTCTTGTTTGAGACGGTGTTAGAAGAAAGGTCTTTTTCTGGGTCATCAGTGGAGGAGGAAGGTCAGGTGGGTGATTTCTCCCCCCTCTGAGCTAGCAGGCTTTCACTCCAGCATCTGGCTTCCAAGTCTTTATTGGTAAAATCAAACGATTGAGAGTTTCCAGCACACGGCACAACCCACACAGACTGAGCAATCATGCCAGCTGTGGACAAACTGAGACGCCATCAGATTTGGTAAACCACCTAGAAGGTTCTCAAGGAAGGAATTAAGTAATATTAAAGGGGAAAATCTTTCCCGTATCAATGATGGGAAATGTTATAGTACAGGGCCTTAGGAGGAAGTCAGCTGGGTGAGATCTCTGCCTCTCTGAGCTAGCAAGCTTTCTTTCACCCAAGCATCTGACTCCCAAGTCTTTATTGGTAAAATCAAATGATTGAGATTTAGTAAAAACTGACAAGGGAACCATAATATACCTTTTTCTTTGAAACCCTAGGACTACTGAATGACCTATGACCTCTAGCAGAGCCTTCTCTTGAAGTCATGGCAACCTCTATAATCAGACCACAGAAAGATGCTTTATTCTTAAGTAGATGCACAACTGTTTAGATTTAACTAAATATGCACAAGAGACAGAGACAGATGTTTCTGGAAAGGAAAAGCTGTTCTATATTAACATGGCATTCAAAAGACACAAATAGGATGTAGCTTTCCTCCGTTCATATCTAAATCGGAGTCTTTTTGCAGAAAAGTTTATTTGATAAGGAAAGCAAGAGAGAGACAGACAGAAAGACAGAGACAGAGAGAGGAGATAGAGAGCAAATACTTCTTAAAGTATATATATTTTTGCACAAGGTTAGACGTAGAATCGATATTCTCAATGGTATTACAATGTCCCTGTTGTGGAAGTCAGGAGGCATTTGTAATATTTGTGTACTTTTAATTTCTTGGGTTTCTGTGTCTGTGAGAATTCCAGATACTAAACATAACTGTGCAAACCATTCAGGGCCCTTGACAGTCCCAGGACGTAGAGGTGACGGTGCCTCTCAGGCCAGGAGTTAGGGAATTGTCTAGGCAATCCTCAGAATCAAAGCCATCACCAATAAACTGCTTGTCTTTGCTCAGAAAACAATCACTTGTTTTAAAACAGGGCCAGCCACACTAAAGTCTTCTGAGGTGCATTTTGTTGCCATTCAGAGTTATGGCACACGATGACCTATTTAAGAGGCTCGAGGAAAAGGATTATTTGATGGCAAAATGGAAGTACTCCAGTGAGCCACTGGTACACTGGTACACAAGCCTTAACCAGCAGTTAGGGTGAGCTCGCTGGTGGAGCATCTGTTGCTGGACAAAGGGTCTAATAAGCACATCGTGTCTGAACTCCTGCAGTTTTGAAGACTATTATAGGTGAACTCTGTCACAGGAACCTACACATCTGCAAGGAGAACGCCCGTTGGAATCTTGCGAAAGAACTGATCGCAGACAGGCAACGACTCTTATGACTTCCCAACTCTCGTTTTCTGTGTGTCTGACAAGAACGAGTTCACTTTGGGGTCAGTAACTTTTCCTGCTCCGAGTAAGTCCTTCTATGGTAGAAAATGCTGTTTAACGCTCCATCGCCAAACGCCTAGCAAACACCTAAGTGTGGCGTGTGCTTAATAACTACCTGTCAAATGAGTCCGAAGAGCGAGGATCGTACCACAGCGGTGGAGCCTCATCACCACAGTTGCTTAGAGAGCAACCAGAATCTGAGCAGAAACTGTTCCTGTCACGGGCCTAAGCCTGCGGCTTCACACAGCCCTTGCACACAGCCCGGGAACCACTTGCACTTGGGCGGTTGGGTGACCTGCGAGGTGCTAAGCAAACTCTCGTTTTCTCAGGAAAGCCCATGGGCCATGCTGGGGCGGTGACAGAAGACTGCATGTATTGCATGGTGGGACCGACCCCTCCGGGCATGTGACACAGAAGGCCACGCTGAAATCGGCTCCCTAGGCACCGTGGCGTCTGTCGGTGGAGGGCACGCGGGGAACGAAGGCTGCGCGGGAGCAGCTGCCAGGGGTCATAAGGTGGCACTGGGAAGCACAGGCCTCTGGGAGCTCCGGACCCCGTGGGAGACTTGACGGGTGCCTCCTGCTGGGCGGCAGGGGTGTGGGCTGGGGGCTGCCGGGCTGAGTGGACCCCAGGGCGGACCCTGCAGGGATCAGGGGGCTGATGGGAGCCAGCAATGAATGTGACAGAAGTGGGGAAGAACTAGGAGCGCAAGGCAGCATGGGAGTTCCCAGGAGCCCAGAGCGCAAGGCCTGATGGGAGTTCGAGCGCGGGACTTGACAGGAGCTAGGTGTGAGGAGAGCACGTTCTGACGGGAACACGGGGCTTGAGCATCCTAATAGCTCCCGGGACTGCGGGGACCGACTGAGGAGAGCACGGAGGCAGACAGACAGACCGAGGTAAGAGAGGACCCGCTGCAGGCGGCTTTGATGCCAGCCTGGCCTTCCTCACCTCCCGAGGAAGGGCTTCACAGAGGCACCACATCACTAGGAAGCAAGGAAAGAGAGATGAAGGAGGAGGTCAGAATCGCCGGTCGAGCGAGACCTTCATGATCGCCCTGAAAAAACTGGGGCGCTGCTTTAAGAACCACACTGAAGACCCCAGAGTTAAACAACCCGTGCTGGTTTTGCACTGGGATAGCTTAAGGGCCAGGAAAAGAATTCTGTTAAAACGATGTCATTTGCTTCGATTTTTAGAGCATTAGACATATCTGGAAGTACCTTAAATTTGTTTTTAAGGGCTTCAGAGGTATTGCTGCTACTGAGAAAGTGGAGAATAAAGGAGGGAAGGAAACTTATGGGAAGCATAAGTGAACCCAGCACTGAAATATTACTGAAGAAAATTTCAAATGCTGTGGTTTAAGTACGTTAGATTTGTTCAAGCCAAAGTTCAGGGCCAGCATTCCTCAAACGACAACCAAAGGCATTTGGTTGATGTGACCAGACTGAAGTCCTTCAGATTCCAGGGCTGGCGGTTTCTCTTTAAAGAGAAAAGGTATGTTTGTGTCAAGTCTGCCGTCCAAGTCACCTCTCACTGGTGTACTTGCCTTTCCCTAGCCGGCTCTGCACTGAGATTCCAGTTTTCTGTAATGCACAACACACACTTCAAAGGTTACCTGTGAACTAGCAGTTTTAAAATGTGCCCCCAAGTACAAGTTTTAAAGCCAAGTCATTTCTTGGAAATGAAATCTACTTAATGGTTACACAGTGACATGTTTTGGCTAACCTTTTCTTTAAAAAAAAAAAATCCTGTGAGAGAAAAGATTTCATTTTCTTTGAAAATAAAACTTTAAGGATAGCCAAGATCTGTCGAATGAAATTATTAAACACAATATGGTAGGCATATAGCAAGTAGAGAAAAAACTTAGGCATTTAATAAATTAGAGCTATTGGTACAGAAATTAGCCATTCAGTTGTGTTGTAGAGGTGAAGATTTAGAATCTTGGGAGAGGCAATGAAAGTGTTCTTCCTAATCTAGTCCATTAATAGGTGTGTAGCTCTCTGAATATAGTAAACAAAAGTATTGAACTTATTCTAACTGGATAATCATAGGTGAACAATATTTTAATAAAACCTGTCTAAAGACAGGTGATTTAGAAGACCATGAAGCTGAAATGGTGATTTTTTTTTTGGCTAAAGTTTACTAATTTATTTTTATATTCTTATTCTAACATGACATCAAATACAGTCTGCTGAGTTAGTATTGAAACCTTATGGTTAAGCTGTTGATGTGTGTCTTTCTACAGCCATGTGTCTGTGACGGACCTGCCTGCTGAAAGACAGTCGACACGAAAGCATGGACGAGGCGAGGCAGCCATCGCTGTTCTTTATCCTGCTTCCAGACTTACACAAAGTCTGTGCTGTGCAGATAACGCTGAGTAGCAGGGTGGCAGGAACAGAGATTAGGAGTACACAGATCAAGATGTGCAGGTAAAAACGTGTGCATTCTCTCTGAGCCTTTGGACTTTACAAATCCCGTTATAGCTACTTTAGGGGGGTTTCCTTCAAAACATCGACTAAATCTGTATCGCTATTTCGAAAGCAAAGAATCCAGGTATATTAGATTATATTTTAAAAGGGAGTTAAAATGCTTGAGGTAAATATCTCACTGTTAAGTTTTTATATTTGTGACCCCTTGTGAGCTTTAATCCCAGCACTCGGGAGACAGAGGCAGGCGGATCTCTGTGAGTTCGAGACCAGCCTGGTCTACAAGAGCTAGTTTCAGGACAGGCTCCAAAACCACAGAGAAGCCCTGTCTCGAAAAACCAAAAAAAAAAAAAAAAAAATTGAATTTTCAAGGCTGCAGAGATGGTTCAGTGGTTGAAAGCCCTGGGTGCTCTTCCAGAGGACCAGGGTTCAATTCCCAGCACCCACAGGGAAGCTCACAACTGTCTGTGACTCGGTTCAAGGGACTGACACCCTCACACAGATATGTATGCAGGCAAAATGCCAACGCACATAAAATAAAAAAGTAAATTTTAATTCTTTATAAGACTTAGCTTTTGGACTAAATCAGACTCCCCCCAAATATACTAAGTAATATATATTTGCTATATACTTTTTACAAGGCACTTAAAGATACAAAAAGATTAACATAATTTCTAAATTTCTATGTCAAAACACGACAACGGAGAATATTTCTGCTGTGGGATAATGCTCTTGGTACACTGTAAAGATTTGTCACTTGTATTGGTTTAAAAGAACAGCGATTGGCCAGTAGCCAGGCATGCAATATAGGTGGGGCAACCAAACTAAGAGAATTCTGGGAAGAAGAAAGGCGGAGAGTGAGTCACCAGCCAGATGCCACAGCAGAAGCAACGAGAATGCCTCAGTGAGAAAAGGTTCCAAGCCACATGGCTAAACATAGATACAAATTATGGGTTAGTTTAAATTGTAAGAGCTAGTTAAAAATAAGCCTGAGATAATAGGCCAAAGAGTTTATAATTAATATAAGTCTCTGTGTATTTCTTTGGGATTTAACAGCTGTGGGACCAGGGACAGGAACTTCTGTCTACATGTTTCTATAAGAATGATCTTGCAACTCCTGACTCAAGATAATCTTTAAGGAACAGCTCAACTGAAATCTGATTGTTAAGGACTCACTGTATCAGTGCCTTTAGCTGTTTGAGGTACCCAAAGGACTCAAGACAAACTTATGTGTTTAAATAACTATCTCAGAGGAGAATAAAGCCTGTAAGATTGCTAGGAGAAAGCTGAATGTAATACTGAGTTTACATAATCCCAGCAGTCTGAATGCTGAGGAGCAAGAATCCCAAATTAGAGGCATCCTGAACTATATAGTGAGATGGTTGCAAAACAAAACAAAATCTTAAGGATGGAAGTGGGGAGGACAGTCTTGGAGTGCTATCCCATCTTAAATCCCCAAATATATCAGAAAATCTGTAGCCTTCCTGCTTGGGTGTAATTTAGTCATACGTAATACAAGTTATCTCTGACCTCTTTGAAAAATAACAAAATAGGTAGAAAAGTGAAAGGCTAGATGAAGTTTCTAAATATTTCAGTAGCATACAAGTATAGACAGTAGACAAGTTCAGTTTGAAAATAATGTGTTCCTTCTCCACAGGCAGCTACTACTGCTGCATGAAGATGTTCTTACAGCACCTGTGCCTGGAATATTAAACCAAATCTGGGTAGTGATGTCGGTTAGTATCGCTGATTCCTAGAAGCAATATTAATAAATAATAATAAGTATGGTAGCAGAAATGAAAGATTGTTTATGGGGACTGACCACCCCTATTTCAGTTTGAGTGAATGTCCCATTAACTTGATATGTGTGACATTTAAATCTATCTTGTGATTCTAAATTAATATTTAGCTTTATCTTATATAAGTGCTGAAATAAAGACCACTAATCAACAGAACATGTTATGGTACAATAGATAAGATAGCATGGGCTTCAATGCTTTTGATCAATATTTTAGTTATACTTAAATTTCTCATCTCAGTAAATCAACATTTTTATTATTCTTTGAGAATATCATATATTTATACCCTTTATTTCCATCACACCTTTCCCCCTCCAAATCCTTCCATACACAACCTCTTCCTCCTCCCAACTTCATGTACTTTTTCTTAAAAAAATAATCCGCAGACTCTAATCAGAGCAGGCATGCGTGGTGGTAGAGCCATTCACTACAGTGGTCACCCTGACAGGGATCACACCCCTTCCCTAGCAGCCATCAGCTCTCAATAACTTTTCAGCTTGTTGTGGGACCTTGGGTGCCCCTCCCCCACCCGTGTGGTGATTTCGTGCAGGCCACCACAGTTGCTGGGAATTTGAGTGTCAGCTATGGAAGGAACTATTTCACACCGGTCCTCCCTGACCTCTGGCTCTTACAGTTGTTCTGTCTGTCCCTTCCTCCATGATGTCCCATGAGCCTGAGGGGCAGGCAGTATGACATAGTTGTCCCGTTTCGGGCTGAGCAGCTCCTAGCCATTCATTCTCTGCACACAGACTAGCCGAGGGTCTCTGTATTGATCACCATCGGCATAAAGACACTTCTCTGGAGGGTACTGAGAGCTGTGTAACCTATTGGCATAGATGTACGTATTTAGATGTCAATGTGATACCGTGCCCATTCAGCAGATAATGTCTGCTATTCTGTTAATACTTACATTTCTTTCATTAGTAGGCGGAAGCCTTTTAAATTTAAATTTCTATTTAGGTTCATTTTCCACATCCACATCTACGTATGTCTTGTATATTTAAAAGTTGTTAAGTACTTATACGAAATGTATTTGCCTTTTCTTTTATATGGCTTGGAGAACATGTCAATACCAGGCAGCTTCACCTTGGCAGTGAACCTGTCACAGATCCTATGTCAAGGAAAAAGTGGTTTTCATAGTCTCTTTCTTCAGATGGATATAGAATGGAAATATAGAACGATAGCCAAAATCTGTGCCCTTCATTGTATTTTACTTAAAATATTTATGTATAACAGTATTTTGTTAAAGATCTATGTTTAGTCCTTTTTACAAAGGACTTTCTGTTACAGATACCGTTTTTCAAATCTGGGAGACTTCATGCCTATATTGAAAAATATGGAGCTAAGGTAGGTGTTTAAAATAATAATATATAGTCTGCTTCTTTCCTCAGTGTCCTGGTGTGCTTTCTGTTGCTGTGACAGACACCATAACTAAAGAGCAACTTAGGGGAGAAGTGTTTATTGGGCTCATCCTCCCCATCACAGTGCATCTCCACAGGCAGTGTTCCAGACAGGAACCGAATGGCAGGAACTGAAGAACAGACGTGACCATAGAGGAGCTCACCCTTCTGTAACATGGCTCACTTAACTCGCGTTTTTACGTAACCAGGACCCCCTGCCAAGGGGTGGCAGCACCCACACTGGGCTGCCCTCATCCCAGCACCAATCATTAATTTAAAAATGACCCGCAGACTTGCCAATCTGATGAAGGCATTTTCTCAGTTGAGGTTCCCTCTTTCCAGATGACCCTAGTTTGTGTAGAGTTGTCAAAAATAAATAGATAGCCAAAACTTAACCAGCAAACAACGTTTGGAGTCTCTTTCTCACAAATTGTTGTTAAGCATGCAAAAAGACTTCAAGATGTTTTCCAAAAAATTTATATAAGGACACAAAGAGAGAGGGATATACTCCATTTTGACATAGAAAAACAACAAAATCCCAAGAGATGGAATTATTGCCACAATTATATAGCTAATATGTAAGAGAAACAAAATTGTAGACTGTATTCCACTAATGGTGAGCTTCTTAAAAGGCAGAAAGTGGGTGTGGGTGTTGGGGCAGTGCATCCTGGCTTCAGAGGGTTAAGCACATTGTGCTGAGAAGGCTTAGCTGAGAAAAGCAGTTCACCAGTGTCACCTAGGTGGGAGAAGAGAGAGAGTCTGCACTTTCAGGCTTTCAGCCTAGCCTCAGCTCCAGCCTGTGGGGATGGCACTGCCACGTTCACAGTGGATTCTACCCCCAGTCCTCCCTGTAAACCCCTCACACATCCAGATGTATGTCTTACTAACCCCTTTGGCACTTCTCAAATAATTAATTTGACAATTAAGATTAACCGTTGTATTTATGGATCAGTTAAGATCTCTACCACCAGGAATCGTAAGAAATAAATACCACCTCCCTTAAAAAAAAAAAAAAAAAAAAAAAAAAAAAAAAAAAAAAAAAAAAAAACACTTCCAAAAAAAAAAAAAAAAAAAAAAAAAAAAAAAAAAAAAAAAAACACTTTTCTGGAAGAAGTCATGTCTGATTTTGTTATTTCTTCCCTAAATGTTTCATGAAATTCATCCATAGGGCTGTCTGGAACTTGGATTTTGAAGAGTTTAACTATAATTTTACTTCATTGGGGAGTAGAGATATTGAGTTATTTTGAGGATTGTGTCCTTGCATTTAATCTCTCAAATTTGTTTTAATAAAGTTGCTTTGGTGTTCTCTTATTTTCCTTTGCTGTAAAATATGAAGTGATTTCTCCTTTCTGATTTCTTTTTTTGTTTTGTTTTGTTTTGTCTTTTCAAGACAGGGTTTCTCTGTAGTGTTGGTGCCTGTCCTGGAACTAGCTCTTGTAGACCAGGCTGGCTTTGAACTCACAGAGATCCGCCTGCCTCTGCCTCCCAAGTGCTGGGATGAAAGGTGTGCGCCACCACCACCCGGCTTCCTTTCTGATTTCTAGCATTGGTTATATGTGTGATCTTTTTTGAATTTTTTTTCTTTTCTTTTTCTTAATTCTCTGATCAGTCCAGCTAGAGAGTTGACAACCATTGATAGGATTAAGCAGGGTGTTAGGTTTCATTGATTTTCACTATTGTTTTGCTACTTTGTATTTCATTGATTCCCCCCACATACACATCCACCGCTTTGGTCTATAATATTTTCTTCTACTTAATTTGGTTTTGTTTTGCCCTCCTTTTTCTAGCTTCCTAACGTGATGACCGATGTCACTGAGTTAAGAACGTCATTCCTGCCTAGTACAGATATGTTTAGGGTTTTACATGTTCTCTAAGTAGTTCTGCCCTTTAACTTTTCAGTTATAAGTGCTTCCTAACGTCTGCTATGAACAAGCTGCGTGGTTTTCAAATGGTTCCCAGGGGTCTGCTATGCTTTCTCATTCGATTATTAGTTAGAAAGATGTTTCATAAAGCTTTAATTTAAAAAAAATGATTTTTTTAGGGTCCAGAATATAAACTACTATAGATTTAATAAATGTTCCTTGTCCTCCTGACAACAATATGTGTTCTGGTCTTATTATAGTATTCAGCATTGTATAGATGTGAACTGGGTCTCATTGGTTGATAATGATAAATCTACCACATTCTTGTTTTCTGTTTGCTTGTGCCAATGATTAGGGTCAGGGTATCAAAATCTCTACTTGTAATTGTGGATAATCCAGCAATCAATACTGCCAAACAATTCTTGGCCCTCTTGCAGAGTGTAGGGCAGATCTTTCTGGATTGTATTCAATGCTCATGTAGCAAACACACTTGGTTCTCATTCTGACTTCAGTGGTTTCCTCCCGTGGGTGTGCTGGTCCGTACTCAGCAAAAACCCAGGGTCTCTGCTGGCCTGCAGTCTACTCTCCACGGTGTCCTCCTCTCAGGGGCTTTCTAGCTTCTTTGTCTTCTGTGGACCCTCAGCTCTGTCTCTTCAGCTCACAGAGACTAACAGAGTCTCTCTAGATTGCCTCTTTCGTGACCACAGACTGGAAACCCCTCTTTACACGGTAAACCAGGGACATGTTATCCTCTGTAGAGGAAAGGCCCACAAGATGGGCTCTATGATTTCCCAGGGCTCATCTTGTTGACTTTTCATCTATAGAGAATACCTCTTCCTTGTTCCATAATGTCCAGTATTTTATGAACCATTGTTTCAAATAACTTGCCCAGTTTTTTTAGAAACTTCAAATAGGAGAAATAAATCCAATTCCAATTACTTGGGAGTCAGCTATGAAAGCATTAATATTAAAGATTGACTCTGTATATATAGATAAATGCTTGGTTGCATGAGTAATTTTGTACTTAGTCATTTCTAATGTTAAACTACAGTGGGAAAAATAAACAAACCAGAATATCATTCTTTCTTGAGTTTCTCTGTGTAGAGCGGGCTGCATGGTTGAAGACTGGGTACAGTTTAGACTTGAGCAAGAAATTTTGACAGTTAACAATGCCACACTGGTGGCTTCGAAATGAGCATCTCTTGAATTCTTTAGCCTTATAACTAAGTGGAACTTCCTACAGGAACAACTGTTGTTTTTATCTAGAATTGCTAGGTTCATTGGAGGCTGATCTGAGACTACAGACAGGATCTGAGTTTGTAGCGTTATAGATATGTAGATATGTAGCATTGCTCTTAATTTGCCCATATTCTCTTTGTCTCAGATGGAGACTCCACAAAGAGTAATTCCTGTAATTCTACAAAACTGCCTTTCGTATTCCCTCAGCGCGAGACTTGCTCCAGCCTGGAACAGAACAGGTCATCTCTTGGTACAAGGTGACTTTGCGTGCCAGTCACTGGGCTGCTTCTATATGTACTTCTATTTTTGATTTCAAAGTGGCTTCCTTTTAGTGAAGAGTTCCTAGACAAGCCCACAATAACAGCACTGTCATCTCCCTACGGGGATAATACGCAGAGCCCTGCTGGTGCTGCTTTGAAGTGCTTTGATTAGTAGAATTCTTGATACTTAAGAATGAACACGTTATGAAGATTTGATAAAATAAACAGATTGTCATTTTTGTTCGGCCTAAAGGGCCATCTTGAATTTACTTCTAAAGTTTGGTGGTTTTCTACTTTATAGCAGGAGATAAACTGTTGAAGAAAGTATTGAGTAGCTTGGTCCTTTTCAGCGAACAAGTATTTTTTGAGTGATTATATATTTTTCTAAGAACTGTCATTAGAAATTTGTTTTGTAATTTTTATAGCACTTCAAATGGTTATATTTGTCAATAATGATTATTTCTGAATTATAATAATATGGTATTTTCTTTGAAATTTTTAAGGAAGAGATTTTCTTTCTCATATGGGAAAGCAAAGTGCTGTTGGTAAGTAAAAGTGCTCAAAACAATAGAAAAAGCATTAAGATGACAAACAGTTGTTTAAAAACCAGTGTTGAGTTGTTACAGTCTTGATGATTACCATATGCAACGAGACAATAAGACATTATAATCAGAATTCACGTAGGAAGTTACTTCTCATTAAAAACATATATTTACTTGAGAAAAAATTCACTTAGTTGGGAGGAAAGTTATATTTTAATTTCTCTACTTAAGAAAATGATTGTGAAGATGTTTTATTCTGTAAGTATTTTAATATATTTTCCAAGATCATATTATCAAAAATTGTATTAATTATGTCAAAACTTATTTTTATTAGAATCTTATTTTTCTCCTGAAAATAATCTAAAGGAACATCAATAATCTCAAAGACAGAGTTTATTATAACATCCAATCTAATTGATTGCTCTGTGTATTGCCTTGAAGGCAGGTAGGTTGGTAAATAGTCCTACTGAGGTACAGATGGATCATCAGCTTCCAGTAGGCATTAGTAACCAGACGTGGCAGGTTCTTCATCGTTTGGACCCAGTCTCCCAGTCCTCTTCTATAGCCCCCAGCTCCTGGAGCGGAGCAGACTGTCCTGCTGAACCGTGATTCAGTTGACGGCGCAGTCGCTCTGACCTCACTCTGGATGAGTGAGTTTGTTCCCTAAATTTAGCTTTGTTAGCATGAGACCTTAGCTAGAGAGTTGAGATAACAATTTAGAAGAGAAAATTTCTTGGGCTTCTGTCAAAAGATTGTTTTTACTTTTGTGTAAATGTAACATACTTAGTAAAAACTCGGATATTTTAAGTGCATACTCGCTAAAGTTTTACAAAGTCAGAGCAGCCTTGTAACTGGTCCTCTGATCAAGAAGCAGCGTCATCAACATCCCTGAAGCTCCCAGAGCCTCTTCGGATACTGCCTCCTTCCAAGGTCCCCATGACTGCCATATTAGCATGGCTCTATATAGGAGAGAAAAGAAGGTCTCTAGGAAGAGGCTTCAGGGACGACTTCTGAGGTCAGGAGCCTGGTACGAGACCTCGCTGGAATTAGTAATAGGTGTCAGGTTTGCGGAAAGTAGGTATTGAGTGTTCTATAAGCTGTAGGAAGTCTTCTCTCTCCTACTGCCCTTCTGTCGTAGGGCCTCCTTCCCACATAGAGCCTATGGTTTATTGTCTTTGTCTTAGAAGTGTGGTCTGTGGGCTGCCAAATCCACAGTCCATTATATAAACTTCATTATATGTGTAAAAAATTCTTAATGTATAAGCTGGATAAAGTAATATGTGTTACTAAAATGCTTCGTTTTATGTTATGATAGAATACTAATTCTAGAAAATTCACGGGTAATTCTTTTCCAGTATTAGACATCAACGTAACAGAAACACAAGTTTGTTTAAGTGTAGAAGTCTATACTATCAGATTGCCACCGCCTGAGGTACAAAATATTTGATTTCTATAAGTTCCTATATTTAAATACACTTAGTGTGTGTGTGCTCTTATTACTGTTTGATTTTAATTTTTAACATAGAAGCTGATTGGAAGGGTTTGTCACCAAAACGATTGCAATGTTTTCTCACATATGCAGACATACATATACACAGACAGACAGACAGACAGACATACGTGGAAACAGAAGGTGAGTATGTGGAGGGAAAAGGAGTGGAGGGAACTAGCAGGAGGCAGGGTAGACAAGAGAGACCAAGGGCTACTGTGAACAGAGCACATATATACACGTCAATCAAAGTCTTAGAGAAGCCCATTGTTTGGTGCTAGCATTTTAAAGGGCTCAGTGGTTGTCTGTTGCTGTTGTTTGTTTGTTTAGTTTTGGAATTCTGAAACAAGGTCTCATTCTACAGCTCTAGCAGTTGGTATCTGCCCTGCTGGCTTTGAACTTGTAGCTGTCTTTCTCCCTCTGTCTCCTGAGTACTAGGACTGTAGGCTTCTAATTTGAATTAGACAACTCACTACCTAAAATCTATTCTCCTAAGGTAAAAATTCCAGTAGTTTTCTAAACTTTGATCTTATTTAGATAACTTTTAGAGATAGTTTATCTTTATTATAAGAAATGGTATTTCAGCTCTTATTTTTTATTTTTAAAAATTCATACATATTTTTAAATAATAGTTATTTCTCCAAATTTAAACTGTGTTAAACTATACTAGTTTCCTAAAACTTATTGTCTTGGGGTTTCTATCATTATGAAGAGTCACCATGACCACAGCAACTCTTATAAGGAGAACATTTAATTGGGGTGGCTCGCTTATAGTTTCAGAGGTTCAGTCCATTGTCATCATGATAGCGAGCATGGGGCATGCAAGCACACATGTGCTGGAGTAGTAGTTGAGAGCCCTAAACCTTGAAGGAAACAGGAAATGATCTGAGGAAGTGGGTGGTATCCTGAGCATCACAAACCTCAAAGCCCACCCCCACAGTGACACACTTTCCCCAAGGCCACACCCACTTCAACAAAACCACACTTCTTAAGAGCCAATGACATCCATACTAAATGTATGTGTGTAAACTGACTCAAGGTGACCCTGTCCCAGAAAGCAAACAAAACAGATTATATTCCCAGGGAATGACTGCCAGGGTTGCCCCCACTCACACATGACCACATGAACATGTACACACAGATTCCTTCAGAAGGGATTTAATTTCTCTAAGCTGACATAATCAAAACTGTCTGAGTTAAGCATAAAACAAAAGCCCTGGATGAAAGGGAAAAGAAAGCCTGGCCTGTGAGGTGTCCTGTGTGGCAGAGAGGCGGTGTGTCATAGCACTGATCAGGTTGTGATTCAAAAAGACGTGAATCCCCGAAACGTTCATAACCACGGTCAGTGTGCATTGTCGTAATGTCTCCTTTTATGTGGCAAATTCCTGGAGGACTTATGTGTTGAAATCTTGTTTCATTTAAAAGCTGCAGGAATTTGATATTTCTCAGCATGTTATAGAGGATTTTTATACCAACCAGAAGGCTGTCATTGAGAGACATTCCATTCTAAGCAACTGGTGCTACGTTTTGCCAAGGTAAGATTTTAGTTTGTAATGCACAGCCGATGTAAGAACTATTTTGCACCACCGTGACCACAATATCTAGTAGAAGAAACTTCAGGGAGGGGAGGTTTTTCTGGGCTGACAGCTTTAGAGGGTTCAAAGCATCACATTGTGGAATCACAGTTTGGGGCAGCAAAGTTTGTATCAAAGGCCAGGAAGCAGCAATTGGAGAATGCCAGTGTGGCAGGCTTTATCTTTCCCCTCTTCTATTATGAGCCCCCGGCTATGAGAAGTTCCACCCACGGTTAGGAAAAGCTTTCACTTCACCCTCAGTTAGTCCTTTCTGGAGTTTCTCCAAATGTCACAGAGACATCTAGAAGTGTTCTGTAGCCAGAACACTTAATTTAATTTAATTTAATTCTAAATCCAGTTGGGTTGATAATGAAGATTAAACATCACTAGTGGACTCAGAATATTATAATACTTGATAATTTGTTTCTTAACAGTTTGTTCAAAACTATAAACTCCTTTGAACTTTTAAAAAACATAATTATAATACTAGAAAGTACTGGAGCAGGACAAGAGAGATGGCTTTGGTGGTAAAGGACACTTGTTGCTCTCGCAGAGGACCTCGGTCAGTTCTCCACACCTACACGGCAGCTTGCAACTGTTTGTAACTACTTTCAGAGGATCTGGTGTCTTCTTCTGGCCTCTTCCCCAGGCACACATGTGGTACACATACATTCATGTAGGCAAAACACTTATATACATAAAAAACAAAACTAAAAAGTGCTAGAACAGTTTGTCACAGAGTTTGTAACTCTCCCTTCTTGAAGCACTACAATAATTTATTCTGCATTCACATTTTTGCTGGTTCTGCTTTTAATAAAGAGTAAAATTATCTAATTTCCCAGTACCACAACAATTCTAATACCAAATATATGAATGTTTACTTAATACTGATTTGTTATAATTTAATGTGAACTGGTTTTGCTTGTATTATCAGAAAAAAATGATTCATTTCTATTACCAAAATGTTTTAACTTGCTCAGGAAAATTAAGAAAGGATTTACAGATGGTAAAGCATCCAAGGGAAGGGCATGATTGTGGCTCAGTTCTTACCAGACTTTCCCTCCGTCTAACAAGCACCAGGCACACTGCAGATGAAAACGTTTTTTCTTCTATTTTGTGTGTATTTGTGGTTGGTGCATTGTTTGTAGCAGGTCGACTCAGTTTTTCCCAATCAGTTCGGTTATTAAGATTTAATCCAAGTAAGTGCCATACATAATAATCCCACAGTAAGGTCATTTTTTAATGGTGGAAGGTTGAAAACTTTCCATTAAGATCAGAAACAAGACAAGAATTTCTATTCAACCCAATACTGGGGCTAGAAGGAGAAGAAAATGAAAAGTCCCGTAACTGGAAAGGAAGAGGTTAACTGTACTGCTCAGCAACAATTGAATGCTACAAACAGACAACCTTAAGGATTCCATCAGAACCTAGAACTCTGAAGTGAATTCAAAGAGTTGCATGCTATAGAACCAACTTATAACCCACAGTATCTGGTACACACCTATAATTCCAGAACATAGGAGGCTGAGGTAGGAAGACCATGATCTCAAGACCTACCTTGATTACTTAGCAAGCCTTTGTCTCAAACCACCACTGTCAACAACAGGAAAATCCAGCAGCATTTCCATACTTCAATAGGGACTATATAAAGAAGAAATTAATAAACGATCTCATTCAAAGTAGCTAACAAAAAGAAATTCTAGAAAAAAATCTAACAAAGAAGTGAAAGTTAAAATTTAAAAATACTTCTAAAAGGCATTGAAGAAGACATAAATAATTGTAAAGAGAGCTCAGTCATGGATTAGAGGAATTAGAACCATTAAAATATCCACAATCTAGTCTAGAGATTTTATGTAATCCCTACCAAATTATGCTATTCTTCAAAAATAGAAAAAAAATTATTTCATTTGGAAATAAAAGACCCCAAGGAGCTAGAGCAATTTTGGGGGTATCACACTCTGATTTCAAACTGTCCTACAAATCTATAATAATTAAAACAATAAGCAGACACATAGACTGACAGAACAGAACAGCATTCTGTATATTAAGTATGTATGAAAACGTCATTAAAAACTTCAGGAAAGCATCATGGCTTTGATCTGGGGGTGAATTTTTTATATGGCCCAAAACATTGTACAACAAAAGTAGAAATGGATCAGTAGAACTTCATCAAACTAAAACTCTTCTGCATACCAAAGAAACTAGTCAAAAGAATGAGCATCACCATGAAGTATGAGAAAATACTTCTAAACCATTTTCCTCTTAGAATATTTTGTGCTTCTATAATAGAATGTCTGGTCCTGGATAATTTATATGCAATGCAAACTTATTTCTCATAATGGGCTGGAAGCTGGGAAGTCTGAGGCTGAAGTGCCGGCACATTAACTTTCTACTGAGTTCTTTGCTCTGTCATTCCGGAGTGAACAGGCAAAGAGAGGTCCAGAAAGACACACAAAAAGGCCAAGATTGCTATTGTATCAGGAACTCAAGCCTGAGATAATTACATCATTGTAGTCACTGTCAGCAGAACCTTACCAGCATAATTGCCCCTTCAGTGGTTACAATGTCAATTAAATTTAGGAGGGAGCAAACACTCCCCACATCAGGGCAGACATACAAAAACTCTATTCAACAGCAAGATAACAACTTGATTTTCAAATTAACAAAGAAATAGACATCGCTTCATCCTCTTCTTCTTCCTCCTCTTCCTGCAGACACGGTCTCATTGTGCATCCCAGGCTGTCCTATAGAATTCATGATTAGACTTTGAACTCACTGAGTTACCCTTTCCCTCTGCCTTGTGAGTGCTGGGTTTAAAAGCAGATGCCACTAAACCCAACTTACATGGACAAAAGAAGATATCCAGATAGCTAATAAACACATGGAAAAGAACATTCAATAATAATAGGGAAATCCAAATTGAAGTCATAATGAGATATAACCTCATATCTGTTAGAATGGCATTATCAAAAAGAAAAAATATCAATAGATGTAGAAAGGGCCTATATAATGTCACACCCACTAGCCAACATTCTAAATGGAGAAAAATTTGAAGCAATCTCATTAAAGAATGAGAGAGGGATGTTCTCTATCTCCATTCCTCTTTAATATAGTATTTGAAGTCTTAACTAGAGTATTAAGAAAAGAGAAGGAAACTGAAGGGATACAGCTATCCCTATTTGCAGATAGTTTGATATTATATATAAAAGATCTCAAATATTGCACCAGAAAATTAGAAATGATCACTTCAGCAAGTGCCTGGATACAAAATTAACTTACAAAGCTCAACATCCTTTCCACACATCAATAACAGACATACTGAGAACAGAATCCATGGAAACATGCCCGTTCACTCTATCTTCAGGAGAGAGAGAGAGAGAGAGAGAGAGAGAGAGAGAGAGAGAGAGAGAGAGAGAGAGAGAGAGAATACCCAGGAATAAACCTAACCAAGAAGGTGAAAGGTCTTTACAATGAAAAATTTAATTTCTTAAGAAATAAATGGAGGAAGTCACTAGGAAATGGGAAGACCTCCCATGCTCATGGATTGTTAGAATCACTACTGTGAAACATAATCCTACAAAAAGCAGTTTATAGTTTCAATGCATTCTCAGTTAAGCTCTATATGAGCGATAGAAAAACACCTCTAAATTTCATAGGAAAGCACAAAAGGCATGAATAATGTCAGCAATCCTGTATCTAAAAAATAATAATGACCCATTATCACCATACGATATTTTAGGTCACATTACACAGCAATAGTAATAAAACCAGCATGATAGAAAAGTGGACTTGTAGATCAATGAAACAATAGAAGACAGAGTCTCAAATGCACATTAGTATAGCCACTTGATATTCAACCAAGATGTCAAAAACACACCCCGGAGGAAAGAGAGCATCTTCCACAAACAGTCCGGGGAAAATTTGATGCACACATATAGAAGATTTATATTTATTATCATGCACAAAATTAACTCCAAATAGATCAAAGACTTCAGGGAGAAACCAGAAGAAAACAGATTGTCCCTATAGGACATAAGTATAGGAAAGACTTTCTTTTACTAGAACTTCAGTGGCCCAGGAATCAGCCCCAACAATGAACAAATGGGATCTTATAAAACTAAAAGTTTATGTGTGATAAAGAAAATAATAAATGAAGAGGAGAGAATCTTTACCAGCTATAGATCCAACAGAGAACTAATGCTTAGACTCTTGCAAAGAACTTAAAACAATAAAAGAATAAAGAAAAACAATCCAATAGAAGGGGGCTATAAATCTCTAGTGGTTTGAATGAGCATGTCTCCTATAGGCTCAGGCATTTAAATTCTTGGTCTCCAGTTGATAATGCTACTTGGGGATACTTGGGGAGGTGGTACAGTGTTGCTGAAGAAAACATATTACTTTATACTTTCTTTTACTTTATAATTTTTTTATTTTATATCACTGGAGGTGGGCTTTGAGAGTCTAAACCTCACTGTATTTCCAGTTCACTACTTCTGCTTTGTGTTTGTGGTTGAAAATAGGATCTCTCACCTCCCTGCTCCTGCTGCTGTGTCAGCCACAATGGTCATGATACTTTATCACAGCAATGGAAAAGTAGCTAATACAAGATAATTAACAGGAAGTTCTGCAAGAAAAACAAAAGTGGTTAAGACCATCATTAGCAAACAGGGAAGTGGAAATTTAATTACTTTAAGGTTTTATTTCACCCCAGCCAGAATGGCTAAGAACAAACAAACAACTTACAGTAAATGCTAGCAAGGATATAGAGAGGACAACCTTTATCCACTGTTGGTAGGATTATAGAATGCTGCAGCCACTATGGAAATCAGTGTAGAGAATACACACACACACTCACATTCACACTCACACACACACACACACACACACAGAGAGAGACAGACAGACAGATCTACCGTACAATCAAGCTATACCACTCTTTGGTATACACTCACAGGATTGATATCCTACTACAGAGACTTGCTCAGCTGTGTTCAATACTACTCTATTCACAAGAGCCAGAGAGTGGAAACAGCCTAGATGTCCATCAAGTCGTTACTAGATAATGAAAATGTGGTACACATCCACAATGGAATTCTACTCAGCTATAAAGAAAGATGAAGCCATGAACTTTTCAGGCGAAGGAATGGAACTGAAAAATATACTGAGTGAGATAACCCAGACCCAGAAAGACAAATGCTCTCTCTTCTTCGTGGGCTCTCAGTCTAAATCTATAGGTTTGAATGTATAACTTAGAGTAACCAAAGAAATACACTGAGACCATTTTTGCTTATGAATGCCTGGTGTTAGCTTGGCAGGCTCCCTTCTCTTTATTCTCTCTGCCCACCAGTCCCCTACCCCATTTCTCTCTCTTGCCTATGTATTGGTCGTTTAGCTATTTATTACACCAAACAGGTGTTTTAGACAGGCACAGTAACACAGCTTCCCAGAATTAAACAAATGCAACATGAAAGAATGCAAGACATCTTTGCATCATTAAACAAATGTTCCACAGCATAAATGAATGCAGCACATCTTTAATATTCTACAACACACACATATATACATACATACATATACATATATTTAACAAACAAATACAAAAGAGTTCATGAATTAAAAGGAGTGTTAGGGTGGATAGGGAAGTTGAGGGAGGGAAAATGCAGGGTGGAAAGGATAGAAATACAGTATAGTCGTGTACAAAATCCTTAAATTAAAAGAAAGGTAAGTATCCCATGTAAAAAGGATGTCAGCATGTTGCTCATGAGATTGTAAATTAGTACAAATACTATAGAAAACAATATGGAAATTTCTTAAAATGGTAAATATGGAATTACCATATGATCTTTAATCCTATATGTCCAAAGGAAATAAGTCACCAAAGAAATAAAGCATGTCAGAGATATTTCTGCACTCAAATCTGTTGCAGCACCCTTCACTGTAGGTGAAACATGGATACAGCCTAAGCATCTACCTGATAGAACAGATAAAGGTGTGGTGTGTATACACATGGAGCAACATTCAGGCTTAAAGGAGGGCAGTCCTGTCATATGCGACAATACGGATGATGAACCTGAAACATGTTATACTAAGCAAAATAAGATAGACAAATTCTATGTGATCTTATATGTTGCATCTAACAAGTTGACTCATGAAAACAGTAAAATTGCAGTTACCAGGGGTAGGATGGGGCTTTGGACTACAGCAGAGAGATGTTGACAATCACAGTTACCAGGGGTAGGATGGGGCTTTGGACTACAGCAGAGAGATGTTGATAATCACAGTTACCAGGGGTAGGATGGGGCTTTGGAATACAGCAGAGAGATGCTGGTCAATGATAAAGAATCTCAGATAGGAGGAATACACTAAAACAATCTGTGTATGACACACTCTAGTGAATATCAACAAATTGTTGTTCTTGAAATTACTACAAATAGATTTAAGTATTTGCACCACAAAACATGTACGTATGTGAAGTAATGTATGTATGAAGCTGATTAAGGCATTCCATAACCTATTTATAATTCAAAGCATACCAAATATATCTAAAATTTACATGTCAAGACCAAAGATTTAAGGTAATGGGGTTTACAACTCGGTGCTAACGATTAGTTTGTCATTTATATGTGAATAGTGATATTACTCGCTAAGTCTTTTGGAATACTTTCTAAAGCGCAGTTAACTTCTCAAACAACGCTTACCCTTATTTAAGCAGCAGCATAACGTTGTATCAAATCTCCTTGTTCACAGTATGAAAATGGGGCAGATAATAAACGTTCTTCATACTCCACCGCCTGACTGTCCCTTCCGTTCCTTCGACGATTTCCGGGGGCACTGGGACGACCTGGTAAGAAGCACAGGGGCGTTTCACTCAGTGCCGTTTGATCTCTTTGCTCCCCGTGTGACACAAGGACAGACTCCCCCAGCAATGTTTATATTGTGTGTTTAATTTATAGTACGGCTATAAACTCCCGGAAGACCGTGGAGACCTGAAAACATACTGCAGCATCTACTTCAGGATGACCAAAGGAAGGACCTTCACGTATCCTTTGCGCACTGGTGATAGCAGAGACTTCCTGTCTGCCTTGGAGCTGGGCTTGCTCATCCCCGTGCCGTCATTATTTCAGGGATTCACGTTTCCTGCACAGCTGCTTTTAATTTAGCTTAGAGGATGATATTAACAAGAGTTTTTGTGGATGCTTATTTTGGGTATTTTGTTTTTGAGACAGGTCTCATATACCCAGACTGACTGGGAACTCACTGTGTATCCATCCCAAGCTACTCTGGAATTCCTGATACTCCCGTCTGTACTTTTCAAGTGCTGTTATTACAGGCATAGGCCACCACATCAAGGTTTTGCTGAGGATAACAAAGTGGGTCCAGCACTCACTGCAAGACTCTATATTACATCACTCTTCCAGCTGAGCTACATCCCCAACCTCTCATCTCCTAATCTCTAACAGATCTTAATTGCTTCTAATATGAAACTACTTCAGTAACAGGAAGGAGATAAAGTCTTGTTATGTAACCCAAGCTATTCTTGAACGGGCCATCCTCCTGCCTCAGTTTTCTGAATGCTGGAATTACAACTCCAGGCTATAAAGACTATTATTTAAAGACTGTCGCAAAATTTAGAGAAGAAAAGAAAATTCAGAATAGCAAAAAGTATGTACATGTATTTGCTAGTAGAACATTAAGAAACCAATCATAGGATTCTCCTTAGCCAAGAGCTCCCCCCAGTGTTGCTCAGACAGTATTGAACGGGTTAAGTTAAAGGTCACTAAGACCTTCCTCTTTGGAAGATTTGTTTTATAGATTTGACTTGCACTTAACAGGCTGCATTGACATAGGAAAATAGCTTTCTTAATATTACTTTAAAATATACACAGAAACAGAACAGAAGACCCTGGGTGGAGCTCTTAACTCTTAATTAGCATGGCTTTTGTCATTCTGACAGTGAGGTTTAGGACTAGAAGAGCCAGTGTTCTGAGCTCTTTCCTAACCCAGGCAAAGCACGATCAACACCGCCAGCAATTCCCTTCCATTGGGTGCCAACACTATCCTACGTGTTTAGAAGATTTCTCATTAGGAAAAGTGACTGTTTTCCTTGAAGGACTGGTTTTGAAGTCTGAGTATAATTGGTAATGGGTTTCTTCTCCGTGACAAGTTTTTCATTGCTCTTGAAGATAGGAGCAGCCTAATGTCTACTAATTTTGTCCTTATACTCTGTGCAGGTGATAGATGGCATTGTGATCTGCTCTACTTACAATTCTATTTATAAAACAAAGACATGGTAATTCATCTTGATTGTCTCATAACACACACATGTAATTTTTAAATAAAAGTAACTTAAAATAGAAGGGAAGATGGAATGCTTTTTAGCTTTGAAAACAGAAGAATGTAACATAAAAATAGAATCTGTTTGTCTGCATCTTGTCAACATGGCTGTCTTGCAGACGGCCACCTTCGTGTTGCTCTTTAACCTTTCCCTTGCGCAGGTACCCTCTCAGCTGCATCAGGAGTCAGCCCATCCAGTTCTTCCCGAGGGTGGATTTGGAAGGTGTGCTGAAAAGCTTTCTTTCAGACTTAAAATCTAAACTGCCTCATATATGTGGATTTCCCATAAAGATGACCAGTAAGCCTTGCTACTACACACGGGAGCTAAGCAGACCACAAGCACAGGTAAGATGCACTCTTATCTCACCCAGGGTCTCTGAATTCCTTAGCAGATCACCAACTTTTCTTGGTACAGCATCTCACAGTGCTATTTATTGTTACTGCTGCCTGTTTGCCCTGCCGTTGCTATTGCATTTCACGACACACCATCATTATTCCTGATGTGTTCCATCCATGTCTGGACATACATAGACTGGGTTACTGGAGATTAGAGAGGAAATGCTGTGAGCCGTTCAGCTGGACAGACAGGGAAAGCCTGTTCAGGAGAAGTAGGTGCCTGCTGCCCACTGGGCAGGTGCAGCAGGAGAAAGGGCATCCCCGGTGCCTGCCTCGGCAAGACATTAACTTCAGGAGGAAACCAGCATGCCTGGCTCCCCGCAGAAAGACACATGATACAAGAAACGGCTGCCTGGGGTTTGTTATGCTCCAGACGTAGCAAAGCAGGGGAAGAAGATGCAACTTGAAATCAGATTCTGAGTCTTTATATTTTCTGGGGCTGGAAACTTTTCAGGGGAGGAGAGTCACCTCTGGCTTTATCCCCTGCATTTTAGAATCTATTTTTATTGTACCATATTATACACATGTAGAAAGTATATGCATACGTCTTGTTGAATAGTTGTTTGTGTAACCCAATACAGCATACTTCCACCGTCCTCATTATGTGTTCAGAGAGGCAACCACTGCCATAACTTCTGGGGCTTGCTCTTTGTCTTTACTAAGCATACATCGATAAAAACTAGGCTTTAGTGATGTCCAGCTTTGAACTTTATGCAAGAGAAACCATCGTATCTGTGTTTCCCAGTCTGTCCCTTGGCTTTAGAATGGTGTTGTGACACAGCCGTGATGTTCCCCTCAGCTGTAGTTCACTCACTTTCATTTCCATGTGGTGATATGATTACGTTATTGTTTATTTCTCCAGAATATTGTTGATTGACAGCTGAATTGTGTGAGGGCTATTTGTGCTGATGTGGCGTTGAACCTTCTAGTACACACCCTCTAGGTGCACGGACGTGAATCTCATGCATGCAGAATCAGCAGGTGTATTCCTAAGCGTAGGACATATTCCAGGCTCCTCCTAAAGTGTCTGTAGCCGTCTGTGAGCCTCCGGCTGTTGCTCCTTTCCCTTGTCCTTATGTGGCATTGCTGGTCTCCAGCGATTCTCGCAGATACGCTTGTTATCATCTGCTTTCAATGTGCGTGTTCTTGATTATATATATGTATATATATATTATATATGTTATATATATAATGATTATATATAACCACTTGTGTATAGTGGTTATTTGGATATCTATTTTGAAGGGCTTGTCTCTAGTTTTCATTTTCAGATATTATTATGACATGCTAGGTATGAGTTCTTCGTCAGCTGTGTAGGGCTCCTCGTCTCCCTTTTTCTGCATTGTGCTTTCCTGAGAAGGGAGTGTAAGTGGACAGATACCTATATGATACCTATATTTTGTCTTAAAGATAAGGATGAAGTTGTTTTTTTATTTTTGAGATAGAATCTCACTATGTAGCTCTGGCTCCCCTAGAACTCACTCTGTGGACCAGGCTGGCCTTAAACTCACAGAGATCCTCCTGTCTCTGCCTCCCGAGTCTTGGGATTAAAGGCATGCACTACCATATCTGGCTCACATAACAGTTTTTAAAGTTAGACTGCTTGCCAAATCCAATCTAAGGAATTGCTGCTGAACAGACACTCATACCGTATGTCCGTATTGACTGCTATGCATACTGCATATCTCCAGCCATATCTGCTCTGTGAGTAGTAAATCCAGACAATGTGCAAAGCTTGCATCATACAGGTACAGCAGCACTTCCCTGAAATCGTCTGCACACTGCTGTTGACAGCAAGAATTCATTCTGCCTTGTCTGTTGTTCTATTGCGAGGACCCACAGCACAGAGCTCAGGTGTCTTCACCAACATGAAGTCAATACACTTCTGACTTAAAATTGAAGCCTGGTCAGATTCTTAGCACAATAATCAAGAAAATAAATTAAAATTAACCATTGATTCCTGTCTGAGAGTTCGGGCTCTGAGAACTGGCCACTGTGTACTGGAGTAGACCTGTGATCTCCTGCACCTTGGTTTCCTCGGCTGGAAACAGAGTGAGGTGACAGCGGTGATGTGAGCGCTTGTCGGAGGCAGCCCTTAGAGCTGCATGGGGGAAGCTAGGAAGGAAGCTATGGCCAACCCTGTCAGGAGTGCTCTCCGTGGGAGACAACAGCCAAGCTGCATAACCTTCTGGAACTTTCTACACGCAGCTGACTTTTTAAAAAATTAATTTTCCAGGAGTGGTTAGCCAGACTAGGTTTGCTTTTAATTAAGGAAAATTTCAAAACTACTTAAGAGAAAATGAGTTTTAAGTAAGGGGTAAAATGGGTGTTTTGAAGCACACATCAGGCAAAATATTATTTCATCTTCTGTAAATCCTGTAGAATATATTTCTACCACATGCAGCATTGAAAAAGCATTTTCACATGGCCCGATGTCACTGTATACCAAACAGAATGAATATTTCCTAAGTATCACCAAACCCAGGTCATACACTTCTCACTTATCTCAAAGATTTGTTTTTAAGGCTTTTGGCAAGTTAAAATCTAAACAGGACCATCTCAGATCACTTGGCCATTCTATCTGCTAAGTGTGTTTTATTCTATAGCATTATTTATGACCGTTGCTTGCTAGATACAGGAACACTTGCCCTGGAGGGTATTCTGCACTCTGGATGTGAGTAGCTGCTTCCTTGTGTGATACGTCATTTAAAGCCAACATTTTTATTTCTCATAAGCTAGGGGCTCGGCTTTAGCAAAACAGACAAGTGTGGTGCCACACACAGAACCAGACTTCAATAAATAACCCACATCTGATTAGTCATTCTGCTTACTTTTCCATTTTCTTTTTAAACATTTTTAAATTTTCTCTCTACCTCCCCTGACATTTTATAACACTTGCCCATTACTGCTAGTTGAGGTAGAGTGTGCCTTTCTGGATTACATTATCTCCAGTTTCAGTAATCATGGGGTGTGTGTGTGTGTGTGTGTGTGTGTGTGTGTGAGTGCGTGTGCGTATGTGAGTTCGTTTGTATGTGTATTTGTGTGCATGCATGTATGTGTGAGCATTTATATGTGTGTACGTGTGTTTGTGTGTGTGTATGTGTATGTTTGTGTATGCATGCGTGTGCGCATGTGTGTGGCTAAGCCTAAGCATACTGACCTCTTTTTGCCTCAACTTTCCTGAATGTTAATGGTTAACAGGATGAAAGACAAAGCATGGATGCAACAGAAGAGCTTTCCCCGTCAATAACATCCAACCACGTAGCCTAGATAAGTGGTGGGCTTCTCAAATTCTTCTTAATGGTTACCTTAATACTGGAATCCTGTTAGATAACCGTAAAATGTTTAGTTTACATAATTCCATATCATTATCCAAAGTTGTACGTTATGTGTCAGTGTGAGAAGTTAAAAGTCTACTAAGCTGCGTTCCGACGACACCTGGAAGAGATGTGCGCCATGAAGCACATGTTCTTGACCTGTCTCACGGCTCCACAGAGCTTCAGCTGTTGACAGCTTAAGAATATTAAGTTCTGTGAATTATTTATGAGCTCACCTGCTGTTTACACAGGCCCTTTTTGCTTTTCTATACATTTTGAATATAAACCTGTTTCCTCCCTTTTGGCTATGTACAGTATTTTAGAATTAAAACAATGAGTGACAATGTATCGACAGGCTGGGGAGCAAGCGGTGCCCCGGGCACTGCTCTCGCTGATGTGCGCTTCAGACAGGTGTGGAAGCAGGTGCGAGTGTGGCTGTCGCAGGTGCAGACACTCACGTCCGCAGAGTTTTCTTTGTGCATCTCGAGTAATAGGTACATTTTTAAAAAATACAATTTGTGAAACCCAAGGATTAAAAAGCAAGTGTTCTTTGCTTGTCTATAATTAGTTTCAACTTAGTTCTCAGATATGTTTCTTTCAAGGCAGTGGGAAAACACTCGCTCTCCAGAGTGACCCCATCAGTTGTGACAAAGTGTCTCCTGGTATTTGATGGGATAAATTAAGAGTATTTGCAATGACAGCATCTGTGTGTGTATGTAGCATAAGGCAAGAGCTTTTAGTTTGTTGTTAGCTCCCTTGTAAAGAGGAGAGTCTGAAGAATGTCTGTATTACCCTTTTCATTCTCCAGAGCATAAGAATTGTGCCCCCAAAGTGTATGTATTGAAGTCCCCCTTTTTTAATTTTAAACCACATAATTTTTATGTGCCTTGTTATGCCCTAGATGACTGGATCAATCTCATCATTTTTTGTTCCTACCTATAATTCTAATCTCCCTGAACTCTCCACTGGTGTCTTCCCAGCCTCATTCAAAAACTGGAACTCGGTAGAAGAAAGGAAAATCAATTGTTCTGGCTTGCATATTGTTCCTATAATTTTTATGGTTTTTGTTTCAAGCTGAGACATGTTTCTAATCTGTAAGAGTAAGAAGATAAACCTGTGATCTACATTTCATGCTATTGTCAAAATTTACTATATTACTTTACTTTCTGTTGGTAAATACCATGACCAAAAGCAACACAGGATTGGGGAGGCATTTGGCCCACCAAATAATATTCAATCATGGAGGAAACTGCGAGCAGGAATTCAAGTAGAAGCAGAAATGGAGAAATGGTACTGACTGGCTTGCGCTCCGTGGCTTGCTGAGCCTACTTCCTTATAGAACTCAGGGATGCCTTTCTGAGAGTAGCACCGTCCACGGTGGGCTGGACCCTCCAATATCAACGATGAATCATGAAAATACCTCCACAGGCGTGCTCATATGCCAGTCTGACAGACGCCGTTCCTCAGTTGACACCCTGTTTTCCTGGTGACTCTAGTTTGTGACAGGTTGACAAAATCTAACTAGTTCTGCTTTTCTTATACAGCAGTGAAGCCCAGTGTATATTTATTTCAAAACAATAGAAACACTTCCATCAACAACTGAACAGATAAGGAAAACATCATATATACATACTGTGCAATAGTCAGTCACAAGAAAAGAGATCCTGATATGTGCTGCAACACACCTGAATCCTGTTAGGTGAAATAAGTACACATAGGAAATATTGTATGACCTCGTATGAAGTATCAGGAATGGGCAGATCATAGCAAAAGAAAATAGAGCGGGTGTTGCTAGCATCCTGGAGCAAGGGGAAGTGCGGATTATTATTTACAAAGGTCTAAGTTTTGGTTTTGTGTGGGAAGAAGAAACTGTAGGTGACAGTTCTGATTCCCCAGGGCAGTGGTAAGTGTGCTTAGAGTCCTCTGAATTGTGCGCCTATACTGAAGCAGTGGAAACGTCTCATTTCTTTTGTTTCTTTATTTAAATATGGGGCACTTCACAAATTTGCTTCATCCTTGCGCAGGGACCATACTAATCTCTGTCTCGTCCAGTTCTAGTCTGGGCTCACAAGTGAGCACGGGACAACTTGACTTCCTATGCAGACAGAGTTTTTAAAGATTAGGACACACTTGGATTTCTTTGCTGTATCTAACTAGTCGTTTTGAGGTCTCGCCGAGTTACTGCCAGGCACCAGAAACTGGTTGTGCAAACACAGGCAGGCTTAAGACATGCAACCCTGCCCTGAAGTCAAAACCCCTCTTAGAGGTCCCAGGCAAATGCATGCACCCCTCCATTAGATCTTACAGTTGATTTACATAGGGCTGTAATGTGGCCTGAGAAATCTACACATTACACCAGAAGGCTCGTTTGTATTTTCCTTTTCAATGGTACTATGCATTTTAGTGTTACTTTGTGTTCGTATTCTGATACTTTGTATTTTCTTTCTTGTTTCAATTATATTATTAATATTACATTTTTACATTTCCCTAATCTCCATCCTTCCAGGAAAACAAAGTCAAACCCCCCAATCTGACTACGAAAAGTCACTTCAGAGTGGCTCTGACTCAAGCCACTCTGCTGAAGCCCACAGGGGCTCTGCCTTTAATCCCACAGCCAGCAGCAGCCAGCCACAAGGTGGAGCCTTTGGTCAGCCCGCAGCTTGCAGGCTTGTCTGCAGCGGGCCGCTTCCAGCCAGGGTCTCTGCAGCACAGAAAGCCCGCCTGGCCTCTCACGGCGCCACCCCTACGTGTGGGGGAGTCAAAACCCAGCAGTGAAAATACTCAGACTCAAGGCGATAATCTTTGCTCACAAAGTAAGAGGGCCCCAGCGTTCATACCAGTTTTCAAAAGGAAATCTGAGCAAGTGAACAAAGACATCTCAACACTGAGCAGCGCGAAGAGAAAACAGAGCGCGATTGCACAACCTACCCTGCCGGCGCAGAAAACCAGCTTAACCCAGGGGGGCAAACCAAGTTCAGGTTCAGCTCCGAGAAAAAGACCTGATAGTAACATTCAAGTCCAGGCTAGGAATTTAAATCAGAAGAACGTCAGACCTCTGCTAGGGAAAAGCGCTGAGTTCTGTGAGCCTGAGGGGAAACGTCCCTCTTCTGAGGTGGAGCGGGCTGCGCACCTCACTGAAGGTGGGCCACTGTCTACCAACGCCATGACTCAAATGTCAGGTAGTTTAAGTGCGATAAAAAGTGCTGTTGACAGCCACACCAGTGGAAAACGCAATTTAACAAGCAGATTTATAACACAAATTTTGGGGAAAAGCCATGAGTCACTAAAACTCAAAAGCCAGCCACACATTTTTGAATCAGACTTAGAAACGGAAGACTCCCAACTCCAACTGCAGCAGTTAGCAGATCGAACTGAAGAAGCTGAAGCAGCCGATCAAGGCCTAACAGAGAGCAAAGCATCCCACAAGCACAGACGGAAACTAAGCCTTGAGTCTTCACAGTCTTCTACAAAGCATCGTTCTAATGCTGCTCATCAGAGGCAATCTGGTTCTTCTAGGAAACAGGTAAAGGTTTGTTTTTCTTTCAGCCTGGAAAAAATTCATGATACACTGGCTAGACTTTTAGAGCCTTGAATAAGAATGTAAGTAACTTGCACAAGTCGATGTAGAAATGTGGCAATTAAGAAAGTCAACCCTGCTCCAATCCTTAAAAAGGATGCTCAGCCTGGCGTGTTGGCACCACTCTTAATCCCAGTACTTGGGAGGCAGAGTCAGGAGGGTCTCTGTGCATTTGAGGCCAATCTGATCTACAGAGCGAGTTCTGGGACAGCCAGGACTACACAGAGAAACTCTGTCTCGAAAAACAAAAAACAAGCAACAGCAAATAGGACATCTAAGGACATTCACGGTTCACAGAACATTGTAGAAAGGGAACAGAAAGAGTGTAAGAGCTGGTGGATGGGGTGGGGTGGGATGGGGGATGCTATGAAACAGTGTCTCTGGACAAGACACAGCCCATGCAGCCATGAACACTGTAGCTATGGTTCCCTGCAAGAAGAAAGACCTGAGGAAGACTGGGGCCCCCACCCCCAACATTTCATGGGTTGGGGAAAGGGGGTCATGAGTTCCCACTCACTCTGAGAGAATATGAGCTATTTAGGCTTGCTTAGATGGTGTAATCACTGGCATGTTGACCATGCTTCAACAAATGACTTCCCACCATGCTCACACAAGTCACCAAACATTAAACTCAGTTGGTCAGAAATTTCAAGGCATCAGAGTAGGAGCAAGACTTGTTTTAAAGGGTTTTGGTGGAAGAGGGAGGAGGGTTGGAGGACGGTCTGGGAATGACAATGGCTAGAATTCACTATATATATATGTATGAAATTGTCAAAGAATTTTAAAAGAGAGACTAACTCTCTTAAGAATCAAAACTGTTAGTAATCTGGCTAATTTGTAACAAGATGCCATTCTTCAATTTGATACAGGTACCTAAGACAACAAAACCTAAGAAGTTCTTTGGCATTCCTGAGACAGAGTACAGTGTGGAACAGAGACTGCCCACCAGGTAACTGCAGGGCGTGCCCTTGTTTATGTTACTTAAATAGAGAGAGCTGCACTTAGATTAGCAAGGGAATAGGAACAGCACCTCTGTGGCTAAGCGACTGTTTTCCCTGTGTGGACCCAAAGAAGAATGGCTTTGATGAAGGACCCCTCGGGCTCCCTTCTCTTTAGCTCTGGGTCCCACAGACTAGGAAGCCAGTGCTTGCCTTGTGGTCACAGCAGCTGACTGAATGTGTAAGACTATGGCCCCACTAAAATACCCTTCTTCTTGAGCATGACCGAAATAGCAGACCTTAGGTGACATCCCAGAGCTAACCATTACATTGAAATTGACTCACGAAGTAGGACAATGCCAGCTATGCTCAAACTTGAGATTTAACTTTCATTCTGGTCCCTGGCACCAAATTCACAAAACTGTACATCTGGCAATGACATTTTATCCCTTGTTGCCATCTGCTCTGTCCTGAGAACAAACATGACTGAAGTACCCACAGACACTCTTCACATAAAACCATTGGCATGTGTTCAGACCCTTTAAGAGCCAGCTGGAAAGATGCTTTTCTGTACCAAATGCCAGTTCTTTCTAGAGCTAATAGAATTTTCAACCTGATTTGAATTAACTAAAAGGTGCCTAAGTCTATTCTTATATAAATTATGATGTGGTATCTTATGTAGTTTTAAACATCTTCATTTTAATACTCTCATGTGCCTGAGGAAAATATTGTATGTGCCTTGGACATGGCTTTTTGCATTTTTAGAGGTAAGAGAATCTACTCTAGGTCCCATGGTCCTAGAAATATGGTCACTTTCTCATTTTGAATTGCTTAATGCCTAACGTGCTAACATGAAATCACTCTATTAGGAAGAATATCATGATGAGAAAATTGTAGTTTATGTAGTGATCAATGGACAATACTATCCCCCCACTATAAAATTAATACATAGTTATATAAAAAAATTTTTAGTAACATGGAGTAATTCAGTAAACAAGGTTTAAAAAATTGGTCACTGGAGAGATGACTTAGCAATTATGAGCACTGATTCCTCTTCCAGAAGACCCAGGTTCAGTTCCCAGGACCAACATGGTGGTTTACAACAATATATATCTCCAGTTCCAGGATATATAATGTCATCTTCTGGACTCTGTGTATAACAGGCTTGTACATGGAACACAGCCTTATATGCAGGCAAAACACCCATACACATACAGTAATAGATTTCTGAAAAGTGAAAACCACCTACAATTGCTCTTTCAGGGATGATCTCCCAGTACCCAAATGAAGTCTTACAGACTGGGCCTGTGGGTGAGACGCAGGCTGTGTGTGCTGCCCTGGGACTTGCTGCTTCGCTCGGCTCTTTTCTTCTCAGTATTTGCACAGTGTTTTATTGGATGTGGATATGCCATGCTTAACTAGCTCCTGACTGATTAATACTTAAGTTGTTTGCAAACTTTCAGTATTATAAGGCATGTAAATTGTTCTGTACAGAATGCTGCAAGTTACTGAAGTTTCTTATATGTACATTATTATTTTAAAGAAGGAGTTTCACTCTGTAGCCCCAGCTAGCCTGGAATTGCTATAAAGATCAGGCTGACCTCAAACTCACAGAGATCTCCCTGCATCTGCCTCCCATGTACCACCTTATCCAATGTAGTGTTGGGTCTGGGGGTTGCACAAGGGTGGAAGGAAAAGCACCAAGTCTATTAAACCAGGAGCAAACTTTATTCCTGGAAAAGAAAAAGGGGAAATCTTTGCAGGGCACAAAAGCGTATCAGCAATAGCAATGACCACAGCCAGACTGGGATTCTGAGACTGGCCATGGGCAGTTTCCAAACTCCACTTTTTATAGCAAGAAGCAAGCATTAGGCATGAACAAAAGAATTTTTACAATCCTGAGGTAAAACTCGGATACAAAGTGCTTTTTTCTTTTACAGTTTCCATTAACAGGGTTTTTCAGTCAAACTAGTGTTTGTATTTAGCCCATTGTTTCTATCTGGCACTTTCCGATGGTGTTTACCAAAGCTCTGCAGTCTCCGGATACTGCCAGGTTTGCTTAGCCAGAAGGGTGTGGGACAATGCACAGCCAAGAAGTCAGGTACATCCCATCATTTAAAAGTTAACTCAGCTCACATCAGTGGCTGGTCATGAGTGGCTGGGGTGGGGGTTATCTCAAAGCTTACCCTCAGTTTGCAGAGGTATGGCCTTGCCCTGAAGGCTGAGTCTGGTCTTTAGCAAACTCATGTAGGCTGTGGCTCAGGCTCAGGGTTATGTAGGTGATGGAGCAAGTGTCCAGAATCCCCTGCTTGTCCTCCATGAACAGCCCTCTAACACTAAAAGGAACAGGAGTGAGAAGTAAAAATAGTGCTTCTCACAAATGAGAATTCCTCTCTTTCAAAACTGTAAGACTTTAAGTGGATTTGATAACATACCAAAGATACTTTTAAAGTCAAAATTCTTCACTGCATGTCCTACTACAATAATCCTTTGTCATATAAAAGACCCAGCAGGGAATCAAGTGTAAGTTGACCCATGATTGTTTACATATGGTTTGCTGTTGCTACCAATTCATCAAAACACTGGTGTTAGACAAAGCAAGTCCTAACCTCCTTCCCATGTGACTGTGGCTCCTGCTCCCAGAGTTATGCCTAGTTTAGTTTGCTCTGTGCCTTACTATGAGTGCTTCTATTTCACAACTATCTCTAGCTCCTAGTTTATCATCTTCATAGGAAGAAAGTACATTTAATTCAAAGCCCATTTTAAATGCTTCTTTCTCATGAAGCCCATGTTGTGGAAAGTCAGCTGACCACAGTAAAGACCAGGACATTGTTTTGCTTGTGTATAAATGTATTTTGTTTTGAGAGTGGATGTACTGAAATATACATGTGTGGTCAGCACAGTCATCCACACGTGGTCATTCTTGGACAAGGCTTCCCGGGTGCTTCCTGGAGCTGCTCCGTCATCACACCTTAGGCTAGGAAGACATCGTATTGCTCAACTCAGCAAACTAGTTAGATAATGAGTCTACGCTGAAGCAACGTACAGGGCTTTCCAGTTCTTCACGGAATCTTTATAAACCTCTTCCTCCACTCTACTAATCTGGACTACTTAGAACTGACAGCGTAATATTCCTTTCTGCTCTCTTCTTAGACGGGCATCACGTAGCCCAGGTTGGCCTTGAACTCACTGTGTAGGTGGATAGGCTTTCAACTGCTGCTCTTCCCACCTCTGCTTCCAGGCTGCTAGATTATAGCTTGCTCAGCTTACGCCATGCTGGAGACTGAATCCAGGGTTTGTGCGCGTGAGGCAAGCTCTCTACCAACTGAGCCACAGCCCAAACACTAGTGCTTCATATGTACAGGGTTTGCTGTGCTAACATGACTCTCTATGAGTCTATTTTCATTATGGTACATTTCTGTCTTACAATTGTTCTAATGAAACACACACACACACCAAAAATCTGTGTATAATCTTTCTCAGATTACCAGAGAAAGCAATGAAGATCTTGGTTGATATTAAAGATCTCAGTTCTGGGGGCTGGAGATGACTCAGCAGTTAAGAGCAGTTGCTCCTCTTGTCAAGGATTCAAGTTTATCCCCCAGCACCATAGAGCTGCTCACAACCACCTGTACTCAGGTTCAAGGGGTTCTGACGTCTTCTTCAACCTCCCAGGCACCAGTCACACACATGATACACATACATACAGGCAAAACACTCAAAACATAAAATAAATGTTTTTAAAAGACTTCAGTTTCTGAGAGCCAAAATAATTGCAGTCAATTGGGAAAAACAGATTTTACTTTGTATAGGGTCTTGATGCTTTGTTTGTAGTTTGGACCCCTTCCAAAAATCCTTACTTTTTAAAATTCTGCATTACAGGGCCATTCCAGGGCTAAACAATAAGCGGTTTTATGCTTGCCTATATCCAGAGATTTAGAAATCAACCACCACACCAAAACAAACTTGTGGAAATAGGCGAAACTCAATGCCAAGAATCACATTTATAGTTATGTAAAAATGTTTCTCATGTATATTAGCTTCTTGCTATATTTGTATTTGGTTTTACGTTTTTATTATATATTACAATTATTTTTACTTTATTTGTGTCTATTACTTTATTGTGTCTGTTGCAAATAAGATAAAATTTTGAGCATCTTGTTGAATGGCTCTTATTTGTCTGGTTTACTGACCAATTTTCACTCTCTGTTTCCAAACTGCTATGATCTGCTTTTATTCTGGACATGCTAATATATGACTATTTGCTGATAATTATAAATAATCAATAAAAAGATTTAAAGATGCATGACCCTTATGTGCTTATGTTTAGAATGTTCATGCTGTATATTATTTTAGATGACAAACAGAGCATTTCAAATGTATGTACTTTTCAGATGTCAGGGTGACCTTACAGAGATGGGCCGGCTTAGGGGCCCTGCAAATTCCTTCCCACTGTAGTTCATTTCCTAAGCCAGCTTAGGTCCTTAGTACATCACAGAGTTTTACTCTCAAAAGATCTTCATTTCATCTTAAAAAGTTACTCATTAGCTGGGAGGTGGTGGTGTATGCCTTTAACCTCAGCTCTTGGAAGGCAGAAGCAGGTGGATCTCTGAGTTTGAGGCCAGCCTGGTCTGCAGAGTTCCAGGACAGCCAGGACTACACAGTGAAACCCTGTCTGGGAAAAGAAAAGGGATATTCATTAAAGTATTTGCCATGTGTCAAGCACTTGTGAGGTTTATCAGAGGGTGGTGACGTTGGTTTACAGCAGAGGAAGAAAGGTGAGGTTCTTAGACACAAAACCAGCCTGTGGCTCAAGGAGCACCAAGGAGCCTAGAGTGGCTGGAGTAGAGAAGCCAGAGGGAGGATGGAGTTGACCACACCGGGTCCCATGGGCCCCTGGAGAGCGTTTGCTTTATTCCACGGGGTGACCCAATCTCACGGGGTTTGGCAGGACACTGTAGCTGCTGTGGCATGGATAGATTGGGGCTCAGGGAATAGGAGAGAAGGTGAGAGACCAGCTCAGAATCCTGGCAGTTGATAAATGTCAGGATAAATGTGCAAGTAAGGAAACCATAAAATGGTCCTGGTGTCTTGTGAAGGGTAGAGCCTACCAACTGGAGGGTAGGGTTTCCATGCTATCTACAGTTGTGTCTATGGCTTGATTGCTTAGAAGGATGAGATCCTAGCTTACAATGCTGGGCTGAGACTTACCAGAGAAACTGTTATTTTTTACAGTTACCAACAGAAACTGTATACTCAGTCTCCTTCACCAGGGAGTCCAAAGTTTCTCAGAGTGACACATTTTCCTGGCCCCTCTGGTCTCCAGACCCATACAGTTGGCCAGTGGTGAGGGCAGAAGCATTGAGTGCAGCAGAGCCCTCTGTGTGTCCTGGGGACCAATGGCATGCCCTCTCAGACAATTTCATGAAAGCTCAGCATAACTGTGCAGGTGGGAATAAATGATTATGACATATATTTTCATAATATGTATTTATTATAATAAATAAGCATAATAAATAAATGAATATTATTATAATATATAAGTATAATAAATATACTTATTTATTATAATATAAGTATAATAAATACATATAAGTATATTATATATAAGGACCTTTATATGTTATAAAGTAGAGAAATCCCTGTCACCTGCAAAGCAATAATTCTGCCTGCCTCTTTCCTTCTAAGAGCTGGCTTTTGTACTTTGTAAACCAAAATAACCTACACTTAATATGGGGTTGTAGAAATGAAAGAAAGGAAAGTGTTTTAGTCGTATTTTTCTCTGACCAGATTTACCACATTTCAATATTTTGCTGCCTCCCACAGCTTTGCAGCCCCTAAGGAAATAAGGAGACAAAACGGAGAAGAAGCAACAGAAAGTAGAGTACCCGATACCCCAGGATGCGAGCACCCAATCCGGTCACACGATGATTACATTTAGCTCTTGTTAACCTGATTTCAAGTGCAGCTCAGTTCTGAGGGATGATGAGAAACAGAATGTTTGTTCCACATCATCAGAAAATATTTTCATCAGAACGTACGGCTTGGCTTTCCCTGCCTGATAGAACACCAGCATGGCACAGGAAGGGTCTCCTTTCAGAGACCACTGAATAGTCCGCCTGCTGGATCTGCTCAGTGAGGTGTATGAAGCCAAGGAGAACACTAACCAGCATGCCTTGCTGCTCTTCTCTCTACACAGGCACACAGGCATGCTCACCATCTCTACCTGTCCTGCCTGGGCAGGCAGTATGGCCACCTGATGCTGGGACCCACGATGTTCTTGACGGGCAGCCTCATCTTTGGAGGCCTCAAAGTGTAGAGAAACTGCTTACGTCCAGAATGGGACCTTGAGATATTCAAAGATGGTTCTCTAGCAAGGCCATGTAATTCCCAAGGGATGAGAATCAGGGAATAAGAAAGGGGGATTTACAAATCAAACTGTTTTACTGGGTTTAATTAATCAGTAACTTTGCTGGGTGTGTGGAGATGGTCCGGGGGACTTCTCAACATCTCTGTAAGCTGCCTGGTGTGTCCTATGTGCCAGTGTTAGAGGAGAAAGTGGCCTTCCTCCACAGAAATCCAGCTCCCATAATTCACAAGGGGGGAACTGAGGTGTGGGCTCACATGGAAACTATGAAGATTAGTAATATTTCTCCAGAGCTTCACTTTGCTCCCTCAGGGCCTCCCAATAGCCCCTCTCTGGGGACCATGGGAAGAGCAAGGTATGGATACCTAAGGTTTCCACTGGTCCAGCGGGTGTATGGCGGCATCCTTCACAGGGACAGCAACTGGCATCTCCCCTCGGTGAATGCAGTGGGAATGTCAGATCCTGACGCATTTGTTACTGCGCAGCCCAAATCCAAGCTACCTACCACTCACGGGAGAAGTATGGGCTCGCAGAACACCTTGCTCAGAACCTTGGCCTCCAGTATATCCATCCCACTCCGCTGTGCCCTCAGGAGGCTCCCGTGCAAGGAGCCGGTAACCCCTGCCCTGCGTAGCCAACAGTAGATGCAGCCATACACTTTGAAAGAAAAGTATTCCCAGAGCTGGTAAGGCGGTGCTGCATGCACTTAGAAATGCTCACTGAGCAAGCCCTATGACCCGCGTTCGATCGCTGGAACCCACTGTGGAAGAAGACAACCAACTTCTGCAAGCCGTTCTCTGCTTTCCACTGGGGCGCTGTGGGATGTCTGCAAGCTCACAGATGGAAAAACACAGAGAGAAAGAGATGCACATATCACACACACACACACACATATATATGTATATGTATATATATACACACATATATACACATATCACACATATATACACATGTGTGTATATGATAATAATTATTAATTAAAAAGATCCTTCACGGAAATCTGCTCAATATTCTCCAAGAACTTCAGTGTACACCCAGCATCCCTTTCCCAGGTCTGCCTTGTTCTAAACACTGCTTCAGGGGAAACACTGATGCTCTTATATCCCACCCTGCACTGGGCCCAGTTGCTTCCTTCCTTAACCCCACCCCCACCTGACTGTACCTTCCTTTTGTCTTCCTTATTTTCACTTCCCACTTGTCAATAGTCTCTCCATTTCCTTTTTGAGTCATCTTTTCTAGAGGAGAGAAGCTATGTAGTATTTGTCCTCCCAAACCCAGAGATCTTTTTCTAGAGTCACCCAGGAGGTTCTATGCATCATCTCCGTAGGAATAAGTAATAAAATCACAACAGTGCAGTTCAAATCAATCCATCTTTAGGGAAGAAAAGTGTTCTAGAACTTAAAGAAGCACAGTTTGAGAAACGCAGCTCTGGCTGCAGCAACTATAACCTGCTGCTACTGAGCAAAAGCTGGGGTACTGAGCAAACTCCTTCCCCACGAGTCTGGTACATCTAAAGAAAGATGTACATACATGTCTCAAGTTCAAACCTAAACTCCTACCCTCTCAAAGCTAAATATTACCACAAATGAAAGTCTTTCCTTGCTGAAGACTTAGATATAAAAATCTTGGCATCTGATATTACCCTGGGTCACAGTTCTTTGCTATTGTTTGATAAAAAGGGGAGGGGGAATCACATGTTGATCTGGGAACACAAGCTAGATGATGTGTAATCCACTTTGTTCTCTTTAAGTAGTTAAAATAAGTACTTAACGAGTAGTTAAAAACATGGCCATAGGAGGCGACTTGAGCCCCCGGGTCCTCTACCGTCTGCCCTTCCCTAATTATGCCGATGTCTGGAAAGGGTGCCTGCAAGTCAGAGCTCAGCCGTCAGAATGCCAAGTCCGGGTTTCACCACATCTGTTTCCCAACACTGTTTAATCATGTTGTGTAACAGGCGGCTTCAGCCATGCTGGGAGCAGGACAAAGCAGCGGCTTTGTGGAGGAATCCTAAAGTCTGTCTGGACTCGACATGACAGGGTGACTGTGATTATCTGCCAGCCAAACTTCAGCACGGACGGGGAAGGAGCCTTGGGGGCCGCCCCTTTGGAAGGAACGAGGCGGTTAATAGCTGCCAGGGAGGGACAGTCACTCTCATTCAGACAAGTGGCTACCGGAAGGTTGCTCATGACCCAGTAAATGGTCAAACACCAGTGAGCGTATGGACAGCAATAATTGTACTCCGTGAGTTGTTAGTAGCAGTAAAATAGACATGAAGTTATGAAGAAGACGGCTGAGACAGCAGTAGGGGGAGCTGAAGGAGGTAAAGGTATAATAATCAATAACATATAATAATATAATCAATACACGTTGAATAAATATATGAAACTTTGAAAGATAAAAGTATACATTTTAACTTTTTAAAAAAAAAAAATCCTGAAGTCTGTAGCTTAAATTCCTGTAAATACTTAAAATCCCAAATTTTAAGCAATTTGGTAATATTTTAAAAGAAGAAACAGAGTAATTTCTGCCACCCAGAACATCGTAGTTTGAAAGAGGAGGTGGGATGAATTAGAGCAGCTGTTGAGCAAGGGTAGCTGTCCTTTGGTCGTTTGCAGCAGTTTTAACCTAAGCCAGCTTGGAAGCCCTCTCATTCTCTTTAGAAGTGTGTTTCTTCTTTGGGTACTAAAACCATGTCTCTACCATTTTGCTGGAGGAGCCTGCTTGTCGGTTCCCGGCTGCTCAGCTCCGAAATAACCACTCAGAAACTAGCTAATTAAATCTCTGCATGGCCCATTAGCTCTAGCTTCTTAATGGCTAACTCTTGCATCTTAATTTAACCCATTTCTAGTAATCTGTGTATTGCCACAAGGCTGTGGCTTACCAGCATCTGAGTCTGTGTCTGGCGGGGCTACACAGCTTCTGTCTGACTCCGCCTCC